GAAAGTCTTGAAACAAGACTAAGACTAAAAAAGCGTTGACAAGAGTGAAGAAGGCTTTACTCTTGCCTCCATATATACTATCTAACTAAGAGCTATGTGGCGATGTCCTATAGGACCTCCAACATATGTTGACTTTGCTAGCCACATGTCTTATCTTATAAGGCAAGTTATCTATGTATGCACCACATAGTTGGCTTGTTCCACAAGTTACTACACAAGATAACTTCTTCTACAAGCTACTAATATATGGTTAGCTTTTTGGCCAAGTTTCTAACCTACAAATACATCTAAAGTCAAAACCGCATCTATGAAGCTTCTAGAAAGCTTTTCTAGAAGACTTTATGAAATTATTCTATATTTACCTACTTCTACTTAATCATATAAGTAACTATTGAAATAAATATATATATCCGTGATACATGCTTGGCAACGATTCAATATTTAGACTGATATGAAGTATTCAAGATTTTTATGATCTGTATATGTAGTCACTTAATGAGAGGCACCTTTAAAAAAGTGGGACTATTCTTAGAAAGAATCTACAATAACAGATAGTTTTTTATCATAGATTTCATAATTAATTTTTTCCATTGAAAAATTTTTATAATGGAATGTAATTAGATGAAGTTTTCCATCTTCTCTATATTAAGATAAAACTGCTCTTAATACAAAGTCTTAAGCATTAGTCTCCATAAAATAGGGCTTGTTAAAATCTAGATGTATCAAAATTGGAGTTGTTGTGAAAGCATCTATTAAGCTTTGAAAATCTTTTTCTACTTCAAGGCTCCAATCTAATTTATCCTTGCATGTCAACCACATAAGTGGAGGAGCAATCTTGGAGTAATTCTTAACAAAAATCATATAGAAGTTTACAAATCCAAGAAAGCATTGGATATCACATATAGTTTTTGGCTTTGCCCAATTGATGATTGCTTGTATTTTCTTTGGATCTATAAAAAGACTTTTGTTGGAAATAATTTATCCAACAAATTAAACTTGAGGTACATGAAATATACACTTCTCCAGTTTTGTATATAGCCTAGCACTTTGTCGCTTTTTCAGCATAAAACGGACATGTTTTTTGTGATCTTTTGGATTCTTACAAAAGATCAAAATATCATCCAAATAGATCACAAAAAAGTCATTGAGATACTTGCAAAATATGTCATTCATTAATTGTTGGAATATTTGCTAGAGCATTGATATTGGCATGACATTGTATTCAAAATATCCATACTTGGTGCAAGATGTTGTCTTCTATTCATCTCCCTCCTTAATACGTATGAAGTTATATATGACTTGTAGATCAATTTTTGTAAAGATCTTTGCTTGGCTAAGTTGATCAAGAAGTCCAGATATCAATAGCAATGGATATTGATTATTTATCATGATTTTATTGAAACTACGATAATCGACACACATTTGTAAGGATCTATCTTTCTTCTTTATAAATAATATCAGATTGGTGACTTGGAATATCGAATAAATTTCCTCAATGTATTCTTTTAAAGTTGTAAGCTCATTCTGGGATAAATTGTAGATAAGTCCAAACAATGGTTGAGCACCTTTTTGAAGGTTAATTATACAATTGTAAGGGTGATGCTTTGTCAGGATATCCATATTTTTCTTTTCAAATACATCTACAAAATCCTTAAACGCCTCTCGAATTATTGTTGTAGCAACCATAGGTTCTAATTGTGGATTTGCATAGACAACAAACGTAGTACCTTGTTTCGTCGCCCTCACAAATACTCTAGCTCCAATAAATAAATGTTGTTTAAGTTTTGACTTGTCAAGTATTAGAAGCTTTTTCATTGATCTAGAGGTTCCATAATCTATTAGAAGAAATTATAACTTTCGTGATACCCAATCTATCTATGGATTGTATTTTTCAAGCCATGAGAGTCCTAAAATGACTAGATTTGATGGTGATCTAATAACGTTGAATACTACTTGGCTGCTATAGTTGTCAAAGGTTATTTCTAATGGAATCATTTCATGAATGATGTCTCCAAAAGATAAAGGTCAAGCATCTATTACTTCTACATGTATAGCTTTGGATTTTTTGACCATATAGATTTTGTATGATCTAAAAAATTCTTTATCAATAAAACATGCAAAGGCTTCAGAGTCAAGTAATGCATAACAATCTAATTTTGTGGCTCTTAATCATACAAGTATAGTAAAACAACAAGAAGGGCTGGCAGAGAGTACAAGACCTTTTTTGGTTTGTGATAGTAAAGAATCCAACCACACGATCCCTACTGTGGCTAGACACTTTTGTTTTCTTCCAATGCTTTTGATGATGTGGCAACACTTCTCATTCAATATGTATGCTGGCATTTTTTTGAAAAATTATTAATCTTATGGCTAGGTTTTTCACAATATAAGCATAGACCAAATTTCTTTTGACACTTTTTTTCTTGCTCAAAAAGAGATTTGAAGCAAACTACATCAATATGCATATCTTTTGCTTCCAACTACTCATTGGAATTAGGTGGTGAATAAGTTACAAAATAATTAGTATATATATGTAGCATAATTAAAGAACGTTTATTTTGTTGTTATTGAAATAAATGGTTATCGCACTTTACAGCTTCACTATTGGCTTTATTGAGTGTTAGAAGATCTAGCATAGACAACAATAAGTCCTTGATATTGTCTCTTAATCTCCAATAAAATTGGCTCATCAATGCATCTTTTTCCTAATTTATATCATATACTAATTATCAAAAATCTAAGGCATATGTTGATGCACAGTGCATTCTTTATCAAAAACTTTAAATTTTAATTGTTGAAGAATGAATCTTATCATATTTACCAAATGCTTCCACAAATACTATCAAAAATGCTTCAAAATTATACAATATATGAGAATTCTTTTTAAATAATGGAATAAATCATGATAAATCTTGACCTGAGAATAAGGTTTCAACCAAATCAACACAAGATGCTTTAGTAGAATATCGTTGAGGTTGAAGCAAGGTGATTAATCATACTTGGTTTACAAAGCCATGAAATTTTAAGCGAGTGCCATCAAACTTTTTTGGAAGGCTGATTTTTAGTACTTTTGTTGTTATTATTGTTAGATCATTGCTTTAAGTGGATGCATCTCCTATGTTTGAAGTAGATATAATTGTTTGAGAATTTAAACCTCTATTGCAATTTGATGTGGTGGTTGAGGCACTCCAACTACTTGACCATTATGTATTCTTTGATCATTTTGCTTTAACAAAGTCTCTGTCTTAATTCTCAATACTTCAAGAATATTAATAATAGAATCTAATTTGATTTCTTTAGAGCCTGTTATATTGACTTTTCTACCTTTTGCTATAAAAAAATAAAGAAACACACAACTTTAAAAGAAAAAAACTTGATCTATGATATAAAGAAAAGAAATCAAAAGAATATTAAGTAAAGAACAATATTAATCTACGGGAGGGTAATTTGCAACCTCTAAAATGCTATAGTACTTCCAAGAAGAGGTGTAGTCCACTCTTTGTCAAGAAAGATCAAGCTCCTAATATTATTTTATGGCAGTCTCGACAAATTTTTATAGACCATATACAAGACAAGGATTCAAGACCAAGAAATGGAGTTAGCTAGACATTAGAACAACAACTAGATACAAGACAAGAAGATCCTAGCTAAACTACAAGAAGTGAGTTGTCGAGAGTGAAGATCTCTCAATCTTGACTCCTATATATACTAGGTCTAAGGAAGCTTCTTGAAAAGTTTCTATGAGGCTTGAAAACAAAGCAAGCCTAAGATCCTTCTTTGGCAACTTCCTAAATCATCTAAAGCCTCCTGTGACCTTCTAGAACTTTTTTAGAATCTACTAGAACCTTCTGGAACCTCCTTGAACCTTCTAGGACCTTTTAGAATCTTCTAAAACCTTTTAGAAACTTCTTTAGTTGTATGTCCGTGATAATACCTCATTAGTTGATACTATCCAATATTATAAAATAGTAGATATTTTTAAGTATTTTACTAATATAAGACTCAACTTATTTTATATATTGGATATTGTTGCTAGGTTTATGGCCAAACAATAGCAGCAATATGTAGAAATAGTGAAACACATTCTAAACTATATAAAGAAGATAGTCAATTTTGATAATTATCAACAATCTTTAGACCTTATATTTGAAAAATTCATGGATGTAAATTATCTTGATTGTCTTGAGATCAAATATTCTACTACCGACTACATATTGAAACTAGCTTCTAGGCTAATTTTATATTCTAGCAAGTGACAATTAACAATTTTTTGCAATATTATAGAAGCTAAGTATAAGACGCTCTTAGAAACAACTAAAAAGGTTGTGTATCTATGGAAGCTACTCATTGTAATATACATTTTATTTCCATCCAAAATACCAAAACATTTATCTAATAAATCAATTCAATTTGATCTTAACCAAAGCTCATATTCCAAGTGTATACAATTTTCATCTCAATTTTCATCTCAATTGTGATAATATGGGTTCCATTTGACTTGCTAAAAATCCAATATTTTACACTAGAACTAAAACTAAGCATATCAAGGTAAAACATCATTTTGTGCAAGAAATAATTCTTTAGGGAGAAATTTCATTTAAATATGTCATCACTGAACTGCAACATAAAGAAAGTTATTTTCACATCCTTAGAGCAGATATATTCACAAAGAAAGCTCCCCAACAATGCTTTGAAAATCATTAGCACTTTATTGGAGTACATTCTCTGGCGGAATTGCAAAAGGGTGCTACTGCACAATATACTCCTCTAAGGATCCGGCCGTCACATCCAACTTGCGAATTGCCATCTCTAACCGTTGCATGTGTACTACCGACATGTGGCCTAACGCAAGGCTCCCAAGGCTTCACCGATCTAACCCTTAACGGCTACCGCATGATAAAGCTTGAGGGTCTGTAGAGACTAAGAAACATTCACCATGCCCATTAAGTGTTTGAGCAGCCAAGAGCAAATCACACGTCCGAGCTTCACAATCACTGCAGTTGGTTTAATTTCAGAACTGAGTAACTTTGAAGTTTCAACCGAAAATGGCATTACATTGCACCAACGATACGGCACAAATTGTAGCACAATCCAGCTGGGAAAAGCAGTGGTATCGTGAATTGGCCTTAGTAATCTCTAATTAACAGAGCTACAACGCCGCGGAGATGCCAGGATGTACGGCGAATGAAGAGGTTGGCAGCTCTAGTTGAAGGTGTCAGTCGTTGGGCCTTGAGATGGAACACATCAAGGCGGTGCTCAGGAGCTTCAGGCGGTTGGCTGTACCAACTGCGCTAGAATCTGAACCCTACTTTTCATAAGAAATATTTAACTAATTGTTCATTTGAAGTCACTTCAACGAGAAAATTTATTTACAAGTGCTTCTCGTATTTTGCCTCACTGAGCGCATGACAGTAAACCACGTAGAAGCTAACGCGCCTGGTTCTCCTTCAAGACAGTGATCTACACCCGCCATTGTCACACTCGGGACCTGTTCAACAATCGTCATATCCAATTGTTTAGGACTAATGTGTTTGTAACCACGCACTTTGTAGAAAATTCAAGTCCATCTCTACAAGCACTTGGAATAGCTTCAAAACTTGAACAAGACATGTTTTGCTACCAAATCAGCGCTAAACTCCGACGAATCACAACACCCCCTATGTTATAGCAAACCAGAGAAGATACTTCAAGAAAGCTCCACGGTTCGCAACGGTATTTGACCCAAATACAACAACCATTGTATTCAGGAAAACTGACTGTATTGGAGGCTGAATCTATCGATACGTAACTCGACTTCGAAGACGACACAAACTGAAGCTCTCACCCAGAAGGACAGGTGAAGCAATCTGAAGCTCACCCTTGTGCAATGATCAACCTACCTAGAGGAATTGTGAGAAAGGATGATGGAATGCGCTGCAGCAAAGGGGGATTGATACTGACACAAGGGGCTCGCAGCCCCGTCTGCATGGCCTCTCCACGGCATCATTCAGCCTCGCATCATTGTAAGTTCCCCTCGCCATCCCCATCGCCACGCGGATCCCTCCGTCGCTCTTCATTGTGTGCTTCGTCTCTCTCTCCAAGCCCTAAACTTGTTTAGTGCGTGTATGATTCAATGCCTTGTCTTCTCCACACAAACTTACGCCCACACCATATTCGTTCTTTCTTTGAAATTTATTAGTAGCAATAGAATAGTATAAATCCATTTCTCTATTATTAAATTGTATTTCTTTTAAAATGAATAAAAATGGCATAAAATAAAATGTTTTAGTAAGTACAATGATATTTTGTAAGTCTTTTCTAAAAACACTTATAGATGTGTACTTGTATATACAAAACCATAAGTTGGTCTTCTAAAAGCTTTGATGGAATAACATCTAATCTTAAAATAATTTTGGAGAAATTTTAAATTATTAATAAACTTCACGAATATAAATAAACAAATACAAATATTAGTCAAATATGCACAAAATATTTATATATATATATATATATATATACAATATAAATATGCACAAAATATTTATATATATATATATATACAATATAAATATATTTTTAGTGAGAATCTACTGTGTGTGTATATATATATATATATATAGAGAGAGAGAGAGAGAGAGAGAATACTTTCACAATGTGGCAACAATAAGTAGTTTTTTTTCTTCTTCATACTGTATAAATTACTTGAAAGCGATTTGTTATAAGAAATCAATCATAAAATCTACTTCTAAATTCTTTTGATAATAATTCATTTTTTTAAAGAATGTTATAATTTACTTAAAAGAAATCAACATGGAATAATAATATATAGAAATCTCAAGAACTAGATTATGGTACAAGTGCACAAGAATTTAATTTTAAAATAAATTATACAGAAAATGATACACTGTTGATTTGACTTTGTGATTGTGTATTTGTCTAAAAATAAATTAAATAAAATTAAAGAATATTTCTTACAAAATAACATTTATAGCTTAAAGAAGAAGTTGTATTGTTAAATTAAAAAATTAAATTAAATTAAATTAAATATTTATACAACATTAGTGTCAAAATTTCATGAAATATCACCCAAAAAACATTAAAAGTATTAGAAAATATCAAGTAAGTTAAAATAATAAAAATAACATTCTAATGGTTATTTTGATGGTGATTTTATATTTAAGAAATGATCACTTAACTTTTAAAAAATGTAGAATGTATACTTAAGAATTGCACATTTTTGTGTTATTCAAACATGTTACAATTTTTTTACTATGAGACATTTTGGTCTCAATAAATAATGTAGTTGATGTCTAAAAACTATTGGTGGTTTTTAATGCTAAATTTTGAGTAGGGATTTATTTTGTATCATAATACATGTTTAAGAATCAAGATTCTAAGTCATAAATTATATTTATTGCCCAACCTACTTTTTATTTTAAAATTTGTGATTACTACCACCTTAGTTTTTATTACATAGTTATGATATAATAAAATTAGTAGTTAGAATCTAGATATTTAAATGTCATTGTACTTCTAAGATGTGATTTTATATTGATGCTATTATCGTATTAACATGTGCTTATTATGATATTAATATAATGTTATTTTTTATTCTTATTTTGATTTATATTCAAATTTATGAGTTATTTACTAAATTTGTTAAGAATTAGTTTTGTACATTGAAGACAAAGAAGGTAAAAGAGAAGGACTTAGATTAGAGATAATTAGAGTAAGTAGAAACAACTAAAAAATGTTAGTTATTGAGGGTTCTCATAAACATTAACTCCAAAAACTTTATAGTCACAAAAGGGCATAAAAAGAAGACAACTTAAAGTTGTAAAATTTAAATAACATGGTTTGAAAGTTTGAGAATGAAAGTGATAAATTTTCAGATCTTCTAAGTCCTTGAAGTGTTTTACAAGTAATGAGGTGACAAGTAAAAAATTGTGCTTGGTGTATTAATTCTATTTAATACTTTGATTCATAAAATTAAAAATAAAAATAAATTATCGTTGATAAAGAAATCAAGATTAATTTTTAAATTAAATTAAGGATAATAAAGCATTAAAATCACAACGATATAACACTCTTGTAATTAAAGGGCAATAACTTTACATGGTCAAATTCCATCACCTATAAAGAATATGATTATGAGATATTTTGAATACAATACAAGACTGGATATCTTTTTAGTCACTAAATATTAAGGTTGCCAGATTCATAGCTCAAGCTTTTTACTTAGAAGAGTAGTTGGTGGGTTGATTGCAAACAAGTCTGTTGGACAACAAAAAAAAATTGATCACGAAAAAATAAAATAAAATAAAAATAACCTTTGATGAACATATAAAATTTTATTTTTGTATTTTTAGATAAATGAAATTTTTTGAAAATTTATTAAAATAATCTATAGAATTAATTAATTAATTAATTATAAAAAACCAAAATATATATATATTTATATTTATATATATATATATATATATATATATATATCAACATGTATATAGAGAAAGAGGGAGCGATATGTATTTGAATTGTAGGTAGTAACTTTGGAAGAAAAAATCATATATAAATCATATATAAAATAAAACCATATAAATAACTAACTTAAACATTGATAGAAAGGCTTACCTTACAAAAAAAAAGCCCATATATATTTTTATCCACACCACATTCCTTTTTAACAATAGATCTCTTAATTCATGATAGTGAAGATTCAAATTTGGTAATTATAGATTTCTTCACTAAATGGCTTTTATTTAACTTTAAAATACTTTTTTACTATAGTCACTTTATAATTTTTTTTAAATGTTTTTAAACTCTTAAAGCAACAAATTATAGATTATTATTATTTTTTTTTTGTTTTGTTTTTACTAAAATTTAAGCCCTCAACATAATAATACAATTAATTTCTTGTTCTTGAAAAATTTGCTTAAAACCATAACATACTTTCACTAAAATGATAATATATTAATAATAATCACAGCTACCAACTTTGTAAAATTATGTTTTTAAATTAAAAAAAAATAAAAACTAAATGCAAATATTTATCCAAGTCATGGTTTAGAATCTCAATTCAAAACTCTAGAATAATAAAGAAAATATTAATTCTTCAAAAAAATATTAAAAATAAATAAATACATAAATAAAATTGTCCAAGAAGTTAGATTACACAAGATTGAATTTAGATACAATTACTTATCAAATGATTTTTTTAAGTTATTGCATTGGATTCTCATCTGTTATGTAAGTCTAAATAATTTAATATTTTTTATTTTAAATTAGTTATTACATATCACGTTTTCAAAGATAATTTGTTTTATCACAAAATTTAATTATATTTAATAAAATAATTAATAATTAATAATTTAATTTTATCTTTATTTCTAGATTTGATTACAAAATCTTAGAGTATTTGTATATTGTAAAAGACATGATGTCACAAAAATATATGCAATAGGCATCATTTAATTCTATCAATGTCTTAGAATAATTAAATAATTAATCAATAAAATATTCAAATAAAAAAAAATTATTAAATAATTATGTGTTATATAGTTGAAATATCATCATCAAAGTTGCATAAAAAAAATTATAAAGACATGCATAATAAAAAAAAAAAATTGATAAAAAAAAATATTGGTCCTTTTTTTAAAAAACAAATACAACTATTTTTTTTAAATCATAATTTTATAATAAAAAATATCTTTAAGATTTAAAAATTATTGATTTTTTTGCTAATTATTTAACCAATTATAATAATTCTTGCAACCTTCACATCTGATAAATGTCTTCGAGCTAAAGCAAGGTATTGAGTAAAACCTCTCTTTAAGAAGCTTTGATATAAAAAATACTCAGGAGAATATTAAAAAAATTGTTATACTACTACAAATTGGTTGTATTTAAGTTGGCAATTGACATGTTTTTATTTAAGAATATTGTGAAGGTCTAAACTTAAACTGAGTTATTAGAATGAGGTTATTCAAACCAATTAGTAGTGACCTTATTCATTTTTTGAATAAACCAATGTATCAATTATATAGAAATATAGATATCTATTTTAAAATTATCACAAATTTCTTCATACAATTTTTTATTTCATAGAATTATTAAAAAAATATATTAAAATCTTCATATAATTTCTCTTCAAAACATTTATGTCACAAATACACAATGCAATATAGATTCAAGCATCTATAAGTATTTAATCCATTTAAAATAAATTTAGTATTTTAATCAATCTTTGTAAATGTTTATCAAAAAAAAAAAAAAAAAAAAAAAAAAAGTTCATTTAGTGAAAATTTAATACACTTCTTTATTCTTTTTGAATGTTCAGTGGATCTAATTATTATTATTATCATTATTATTATATAAATACAAATAAATCAAACTAAAAGAACTTCATTCCTAACAACAAATGTTTTGGATTGATATTAGTTGTTAAAAAAATTAAATTACATGATATTAATTTCTTAAGATATATATATATATATATATATATATATGTGTGTGTGTGTGTGTGTGTGTAATTTGACTTTGGTAATCCATTTTACAGTAATTTAACCAATTTACCAAAAACAGTCAAAACACTGTTTTCATGTACACATCTACATTCTTACAATTATTTAATCCGTTTCCAAATGTAGGAAATTATAACTACTTTTTATTTATTTATTTATTGCTAAAGCAATAATCATGACAATAATATTTATATCTTCTCTCAAGTACTGGTTTCTTTTATTAGTCTTTATAATCAAATAAATATAACCTGTTCATTACCACAAATATCTTAGAAATTAGCAAATCAAATTATCAAAATAATTCCAAAACCAATAATGTTAAAAATATGATATAATACAATACCCACATGATGGATTTAACATGACATGGGTGCTTCTAAATTTTTACAATTACTCACCTTCAAAATAAATAAGAATGAAAGCAGGACACATTCAACCCCCAAATGATCATCCAAGCATCTAGTACAACAACAAAGGCGTCGATTGAAGCTGAATTTCCTGCTAAAACCGAGAGTGTTAACTTAGTCTACCAAGCCCCAAAAGTGTGAGGTCCTTGCCCAACAATAAATCCCAACTAGACGGCCGCCACTTGAGGTGATGGATGGCGTACCCACCGGAGGAACATTCATCTACGGATTCTGTCCAACGTGGCAACCTTGACAACTTTGGCTCTTATTCGCAGTCAAATTGGTATCCTTTCAGCATAAGTAAGTGTGTTGTACTGGGGCAAAGGATGTGTGTGTGTACAGCCATGAGGTAAAGTGAGAGCTAAGGTTTTTAACGGAGGTTGTGGGCTTATTTACACCGAAGGAGAGTTTGTACCCAATCTGACTGATCATGAGTTCAAACCCAACCTGCAGACGGCATCTTTCAAAGGGTGCGTGGGTGGGTGGGAAGGGAGATCTACGCACATAATTATCTCTCCCTCTCTCAATTATCGGATGAAACCCTATTTTATACACGGATGCCCATGTCTTGTCTGAATAAAACTTGGGGTTTCAGGTTAACGTTCAACAGTGCCTTCGAAACATCCTCATTCATCTTTTTATTGAAGTATTTTTTGTAGTAAAAAAACTAAGTGTTAGAAATAGACAGTGCAAATTATTTAATATTATGCTTGTATGAAGCAGGAGTAGGCATGCGGACACTGGAATGTTAAGTGAACACAAAATGAGGTATTCTTGATGTTTGCAGATTGATGTAATAGTTGTAGAAATAGAATAGAATATATTTGAAGGTTAGTATGTAGTACTGTGGTAAAGCACCAATTAATATTCAAAATTCTTCAAGTTAAAAAATATCTTTTACACAATTATTTTCTTATTTGTTAACCAGGTTATTATCTATTGTATTGGATATCAATAATAAAATCATGTTTTTACCTCCTTTTGTTATTTGGCTCATTGAATTCAAAGTTTTGATGTCGTGATCACATGATGTGGAATTTCAGAGGAGAGTACAATTTAATTGATGGTTGTGTGGTCTGAAATTGTTTGTCCTTTAATTTTCAATCAAAGAATATAAATATATATATATATATATATATGTCTCTCTCTGTGTGTGTGTGTGTAGAATTAAGGATGAATATTCTGGGTCGTTTCTTTTGTGTGATATTCTCATTTACAAATCTACTTGCATGAACATGTTCTTAAATTGCACCAATTCTTCACTTTATAATTTGAAAACCGCATTTAACATATCTTGTTTCAAATTTTAATATTTGTGGAATTGAATAAATTTCCTGCCAGGGAGGAAAGGGGGGTTGAGCTCATACTATGGTAATTTTTTTATTCATCCAAAAATGAACAACAGGCAATTTTAACAATTTTTATTTTATGTTTACTTACAAAATTTGCAACTTAGGGTTCAAGGTCGCCCAGATGGATTAACCAACAATGACATTACAGTAAGTGCCAATTTTGCCAAAACAAAATTTGAGTCTCACTAAATGTTCAACAAATTTCATATACTTGATACTTCATGTAGACAAGTGCAGAGCAAGAAATTTCAAGTGGCATATTTCGTTGTGCATTGGATATAGTTCTTTGCCAAATGTTGATATCACACAACAGTACCCTTTGGTGATCATAAGAACCCTATTCATGTTTATCTGACATAAATTTATTTATTTGATTATATATTGATCCAAATTTAATTGAATTTATTTTTTATCCTTTGTTGGTTACTCTGATTAATTTACTCCATGGTTTTGAAATATAAAAATCATCAATCAGCAAACTAGTACATTATTTCAAAAACTATTTTCAAACATCAAAATCAATTTTTATGGCTTATTTTCATATTTTTATATTCTTATCCAATTACTAATTAAGTACATCAACTATATTTCATCATAGTTTTTGTTCATTCTTAAATATATAGTTTTGTTGTATCTACCGAGTATTATTCCCTTGTTAGCATACTTTTCTTGCTGACATTGTGATTTTCTTTCAAGGTATACTTTAAGTTTTGTTGTGTCGTAGTGTATAAAATGAATGAGACTAAATGTCTCCATAATACAAGTGGCACTGTTCTAAATTCTCAAATATTACATCCCATTCAATCAAAAGCTCAGCTCATTCATGCTTTGCTGCAAGCTTCAATATTCCACTTGCACAAAACAGTAAAACTTCAACATGAGATATGCACAAAATGGTCATAGACCCTGCAATGAGCATAGAGAAACCTCAGCAGCAGCCAAAAGCTGTTGGTGATGATGGGAGTTTGTTGGCATATCTTGATCAGCAAGGACTTGGCCCATATCAGAGCATATCTGTATTGTTGAGGATATGTAGATTTTCCTGAGTTGCCTTCCCCCACACTATTTCATGTACATGCACATAAACTTTTTGGACTTTCCCTCGACTTATTTATTACTATTCTTTGTTTTGCATTTCCAAACAAATAAAATGATACACTGGGTTTAGAGAAAAAGCAGGAGTTAAGTAAAGGCAAGTCATCGTCAAGCCCTTCTGTGTCAACTGCTCCCACAGTGGTCTCTACATTACATTTCTAAGCTAGAATTGATTTAGTTGTACTGAAAGTTGTTATATTGAATAGTGAGGGCAACAAATCTACACCACCTGGATGTGCTTTGTCTGTACACCAAATTGTCCCCCCCCCTCCCCCCACAGACCCCAACTGTGGCCCCAACTTGCTCACCACAGTGTTATGGTTATTTTTCTGTCAGCACAATAAATAACTTAAGAATGGGAATAAATAATAATATACATAATAATAATAATAATAATAATAACTATATTGTTATTGTGCTCTGGTGACTCAAAGGGAGAATCTGATTGGTGGATGTACTTTTGCCAAAACAAATGTTGTTGATGTATTTAAATAGTCAAAGGTTGCCAAAATTGCCATGTGGCAATTGGAAATTAGATACTAAGATTTTATCATTCGAATGAGCCATGAGCTCTTCGAAATTGTGGGCTGATGAAACTGTAGTGGTTTGTAGCATGTAGAAAACTCATCTACATTGAGAATTGGTTGTTACTTGAGAACTTGTTTTACCTTTCAGTATATGAATATACATATACTTTTTTTTAACACCTTTATTTGGTGTAATTTTAAGTACAAATTTGAAGCATATACATTTTTGTGTGCATTATCAAAGTTTTACATAAACAAATATATATATATATATATATATATGTGTGTGTGTGTGTGTGTGTGTGTGTGTTCAAACACACATAAACACAGAAGAAGAGAGTAACCATTTATAATTCAACACCAATTGAGTAATAATTACAATATTCATTTCAAAATTTAGTTCACAGTTATCCTGTATCAAGCAGAATCATGCCACATGGACGTTCCATTTTACAACAGGGTTTTATGAAGTATATTTTTTATTTTTCCTTTTCAAAGGTTTTCATGAAGTTCCTGGCGAAATAACGTGTTCGGATTGCCTAATTTTCTATGGTTTCAGAGTGCACCTTCGTATCTGAAGATGTCGCTGGCCGTTACATGTAACGACATGAAATCTACTCTTGGGTATAGTTGCTTGAAACTTAAAGATTCAAATGACAATGACAAATGCTTCACGTCTAGAAATAGAGAGTACTTCTGGAGGGGCCCAAGGATCCCAATATTCATCCACGTTCATCCATGGCATGCAGCTTCCTCAAAACTTATTCACTCTGAAATGTTCATGTCAGGATGATATGACATACAAACCAAACTATATCTGAGAAACCCCTTCCATTTAGTTCCTGGGATGTTTTTGAGACAATCCTCTGCCGTTGTCGCCGTCGTTGATGTCGTCGTCCTTGCGAGAATCGGAGCACTGGGGTTGGATCCCCAGCCAGGAGCAGTTCCACGGACCTACCGTAGGAGACTCTTCCGCAGCTGTTTCTGGCGGCAGACGCGGGAGGTCTGCTTTCACCTACCTGTTTGCAGACAGTTGGATTGAGATTTTTGATTTACTGAAACCTGATTTGATTGGCAGAGGGTAGTGAGATTTGTCTTAACTCTCCGCACGCCTCTGTTTCGCACTAACGTTATCGGAGTCGTGGCTTCGCAAACTTGACAATGGCTTCTGTAGCCTGCGTAGTGCTGTACATTTACTAAAGATCATCTGAGGTTGTATTTAGTTTTAGCAATGCTGGTTCACTATGCAATCATGATTTCGTTGTGTTAAGAAAGCTTTGGCTCGTTAGTTTTGGAACCAAAGATATACAGTGATCTTCCGTCACACGTTGGAGAGCCTTCGTGCTGGCCACTCTCTTCCATTTGTAGTGTTGTTTCAGAGCAAGCTAGATCCTCTGGCTCTCTGTCCTGGTATGTTCGTCCCAGTTGCTATGTGCAGATTGCACGAATATAACGCTATGAATGGGGCATGTTCAATTCAAGGATATCAAGTGAGGTGTACGACGTTGCAACTAGAGTTTGTGGAAGCGCTGTGGAAGACAAGGCCAAAGTCCGTTGAAAACCTTGCAATGAGTCCAAGAAGCTCGAGAAGGTTGTTGGAAGGGTCAGTTTGGAGTAAAGGCACCCTGCGGCAGCAGATACGACATCCGAAGGAGAGATACTGGCATACAACACCAGATTCTGCGTCGAACTGCTTGAGTACACTTTACGAAGTTGCTGCAGTGGCTTTGGATTGTTCATCGAGACAGGATTCTGAAGCCTTCAACGAACCAGTTCGCAAGAAAAGGAAAATTTATGGCCTTCAGGGAGGAGGAATGAAAGGAGAAGAGCAAGTCACAAGGGATCTTTATCACACGTTCCAGAACGAAGAATCAACAGAACTTCCTAATTCTGACGTCGTGCCTCGGAGGAGTACCAGTAATTCCTCGGATAGGATGAATATGCACCGGAGCGGTTTCACTTCTGAAGAAGATGACGAAGGTAACGCTCCAAACGACTCTGCTTTAGCTACTGTTATAACTGCGGCTGAGCTGTTGACGCAGCTCACATGCGGTCGAAATATGGACACAAATCGTCAGTCTACAGAAGCTACATCCTGTCTCACGTATTCACCGTACACTGGGAAATCTTCGGATCAACCAATTCGATGGGGAGTCAAGAAGAAGGTATCGTATGAGACCAGAAGAAGCATGGACTCTTGCGATCTTGGCTTGTGCACCGGCTTGACAAACAATGTGCCCGATGAGGAGAAGGCTACTTCTGTTCCTCCAGGTCATGCCGGACCCGACCAGAAATTCGAGAAAAAATTCTACTGCCGGAATCAAAACTCAAATAGTTCTGCAAAAAAATGGATGCAGTCCTCTCCAAATTCTCTAGTCTCTTCACGGCATAACAGACGGTTGGAGCCATCAGGAGATCAGAATATATCGAATTCAGCGCTCAATTTGCTTTCGGGGGCTACTCAAGTCGCAAGAGATCAGCAGCAGAACAAAACATCTTTGACTAGCCGGACAGTCTCAGGAAATATTCTTAAGTTACCTAAAGAAATGCAGGGCCGGTGGTCCAGTGAGAGGTTCGTGAAATGTCTAAGTGTGCCTTACGTCAATCATTTTGTGCGTTTCTTAGGTTTTCTTGTCGTTTGCCTCGAGACGTGTTGTACGACTTCATCAATAGTAGCGTGTTTGAGATGATTCTCTATACCTTCCGTCTATAGAAGAGAACATAGTATTGCGATGTGGACATTATCACAGGAGGTTCACCTACGTATCTTCTCCGAATGTTGAGATCGTGACTCTTATTAACGTTCGGAAAGAATTATCTTTCTCTTAAAATAATCCCTCCATTGAAAATATTACTCAAAGGTTTCTGTGAAATTACGTTCCATAACAATATTTGCTGCACCGTTGAGCCCAATCTTCACCAGGACAACCTGACTTTGAGTTTCGACTTAGATTTTCTTTAACCATGCAAATTCGCAGGTACAAGTCGGCTCAGCTTAAGCTCATTGATATTATGCATGCTCGAAAAGCTGTACCGGGGAAACCTATTCTGAGGCCTGTACTACGGGAGGAAGCCAGAAAACATATTGGCGACACTGGACTGCTTGACCACCTGCTGAAACACATGACAGATACGATAGTGAGTACAGGTGAACGATTCCGTCGCAGGCACAACTCAGAGGGAGCAATGGAATATTGGCTGGAGCATGCAAGCCTGATGGAATTGAGAAAAGAAGCTGGTGTTGAAGATCCGTCATGGATTCCTCCACCAGAGTGGAAGCCTGGTGATAAGCTCCTTAACAGGAATTGGAGAATAAATCATGGCATGACTTCATCCGAAGCTGCTGAGATGAGAAGCCTGAAAGAGACGGTTGAGAGGCTGAATAGGTACTCGAGCCTTGAACGTATTTTCCCCCAAGTGTTGCCAGAATTAATAGAAAAGCTTACTAATCATGTCTTCTGTTAGACGCACCGACTGTTTCAGGGATCATGACGCATTACTTTTAGATCTTGTGAGATGGCTCAATTTCCACTCTGCAATCTTGATTTCCTTTGGTGAAGCTTTTCTCCTGGACTGGGCTATTACATTTTTGCAACCCTGAACATCTGTTGAGCCTGCTCTAAATTTTTCCAAAATCTACATCTGCATATCGTTCCAAATGAATATTTGAACTTCGAATATACTGATGACGTGTTATTACCAGTGAAATGAAGATTTTATGTGGGAGCATCAAAGTGTCCAACCAACATGGTACGTTGATCTGTCCAAGTCTGTTTCACGAAAAAAGGTTGGAAAGTGTACCTTTCGGAACAGAAACTGAAGATGATTCGATAAAGGTGATCTTGTTAATCCCAGTAGCACTAATTGAATGTTACTCTTGCTTCATACCCTGGTTTTTTTGTTCTACTCTGTGAGCAATAGTTTCGCATCAGATTTCGTTTATCTTGACCAATAACATTGTGCAGTAAAATCTCTTTCGACAAGCTTGAATCTGTTAGCTATTTCAAATAAGATAGCTTCAATTTATTAAATATTGTAGAAAAATGTATCGTCCTTGTAGATAACACTAGTTCCCAGATTCCATGTTCATGCTGAGATGAAATGACATCGTCATCATCTAATTTCTTGGCAGGGCATTAGAAAGGACATGACTCATTTTAAAACCGAATTGACTAATATACAACAGCAATTTCACGAGGAACACAAATCATGGTAAGATATGTCGAACTTCGTATATAGTTTGTAGAAGAGGCACCAACTGCAAGATGTTAGTGATGAGTACAAAAAGTTGCACTGAATCCATGAATCGGTGTGCTATCTTCATCAGGAAGCCTCGAGATTTTGTTTACTCTTCCTTGATTTTGATTACTCTTCCATGAATTTTGGTCGTAAATCCTTGATTTTGAGCAATCGCTTGATAGAGCTGCAACGTGTTTCGTTTAAAATATGCTTACCTCACTCACTGTATTGTATCCTGATACACCATGTAAATTTTTTTGTTATCGAAATATAGCAGCGCCAATCCAACCATTTCCTCGCACAGATTTCAAAAACTTGAAAATGAATCGCTACAGATGTTCAAGGTGGGTCAATGTACAATTCCTCGCCTTGACCTTCTCAGTATACGTACAAAGTGAAAATTATCGGAGCAACAGTTTCTGGTAATACCCAAAGTTTCAGAAAATTTAGAACTAAAAATTTACCTTAGTATTCGTGACATGGTAATGACTACACCACCATGTCAGCAGAGTCGAAAAGCACAAGAAGATATTCCATGTGACAACCAACTTGATCTTGAAGGGCAGCTACAAGATGTTCGCAGGACCGTTGCGGTGATGCAGGTATTTGTTGTTTTACTGCCAGTTTTGGTCGCCTATTCTATTTCCAACCAGTAAAGGAGGTCTCTGCCAGTAAGAAAAATAGTGGACAAGATCCTTCAATAATATTTTCAGTGTTATAACTAACCTGACATCAAGAACCAATGCAACCGAGGATTATCTGAAGCGTTCAGTGTTTCCGTTAAACACATTCTCGTGTGGCTGGTGGATTAACTGCAGGCAGATGTCAGCTGCATCATGAACATCCTCGGTATCGTGCAACCCATAAGATATCCTTTCGAACCAAGTGCACCTGAAAACGCCTTGTCCTTAGTACTCTCAAGGAGTGAAGATACCTCTGTCAAACATGTAAAAGCTCGACCTCAATCTCCAGGAACTTCGGGGCCAGTGCTTTACGACTTTGACGTAATCCCAAAGCTCGATGCTCCAATAAGACAGTGCACAACTTTGGACGGTGCGCTCAGCAGCAGTAGTGGCTGTAACACAGCGAACAATGTTGAACCTCACACAGAGGGGCTTTCGCAGGCTGTCACCTGCTACAAACTTGTGGAACAATCTGGTAAACCAGGGGTTCATGTTCAATTTAATCAAGAGGAGAATTCCACGGGAAGCATCGTGACTACACAAGATTCCTTATCTTTGATGGGGGATAACAAGGAGAAAAGAGTTAATGTTTTCAACGCACAGAATTTCCAACCGATGCTTCAAAGCAAATCGACCGGATTCAGAATCTGTCGCCCACCAGGTAGTCTCATTTGGCCTAGCATGTTGAGTTACACTAGATTTCCTAGCACCTTTCCTACAATGACCATGCAAGAGGATGCAGAGGTGCGCGTTGAAGATGAAGCTGGTCATAGTTCAATATCGGGAGAACTACTCTCTCCACACATGGTCTCTGTGAAGAATCTGATCTATTCTCCTAAGTCTATTACGGAGTCTCAAATAGCTGCGACTATGGCGGGAATGCTTGGGCACACGGCGGTTCACGAAGTTGCCAAGCTGGAAATGCAAGGACCTCTAGACACTGTCAAAGCCATCAATCCGGCTCCTTACTCGATATGTCAAGGTTCACAGCAATCAAGCTGCAAAGTTTTAACCAGCGGCCATTCGGGAAGCACTGGAGTAGACTTGAGCGCATCTCCAGAATCTTGGAGTCGTTTACATATCGATCAATCCCAGGAAACAAAATTGCAAAAAGCAACCTCAGTCAGTCCCACTTGTCGCTTGACTCTCAATTCCCTGCAGCAGAAGCCCGAAATTAAGGTCACCGAACCCCCACATCTTTCATTGCCTATTCTGCCTCTCATGACCATGGGAACCGTGCCGGCTGCAAGGATCAGCATAAGTACAGCCAGAAATCCAGAACAATGCTCACCAGCCGTGCAATTTGACCCAGCACTCTCCCTCTCCTTGTCGCTGACAATGTCACCAAAAATATACGATGTCAATTCAGATATAATCAAACCGAGGTCCATCTGACTGGTGAAACTGCTAATTTTGTGCGTGAGAACAATCCGTCTTGTTATTCAGGTTTGGATAAGCATCATCGACTCGAAGCCGGCATCACAACGTCTTTGCTGTAACATCTTTGGGTAATACCTCATCTCAAAGTGTGGAGGAAGAGGGAAAGCCAGATTAAACTCCTGTTTAGAGCAACTTCAGCCAGAAGGGCACCCGATGTCTACAATTGTCATTAGGCTGCTCATCTGCTGTCCTCTAATTGATCTGAATGGTAATACCCCGTTATTTTCAATCTCCTCTGCCCGAACAATTTTCTTATGAAGGTCGTGCCACTTGGCCAACTTGACTTGAACCTTGTGACATTCATCGAACGGACTGCATCCTACAGTGAGGTAATTTGTTGCAACTTGTAAACACTTTCGTATTCTGACCGAGTTCCATTTCATCTTTTAGAGGTATTTTCTTTTACAATCGAGAACGTTTTCCAGCAGTTTTGATTTGGTTGTCCATACTCTACTGATAATCAGGTGTTCATCGTATCGAAGAGTAATTACCTTGTTAAGTTCATGTTTTGGTCCAATTTCCTCCCTAGTTGTAGGGAATAGCTGCGTTAAAATTTTGATATGATCACTATGGATTGTTCTAATTGAGGGCTGAACAAGAGATGTGTAAACCTCACATTTTGAAGCCTCCATGACAAGCTAATTGTAATGTGTAAGTGTTACACAAGGTGTTGGCACGACCATTGTATGATGCTGCATATTTTAGAGTAAAACTGATTATTGCTTCGTGGTTTCATTGCTCCCTGGAACTTCCGCAGTTACGTGTTTTGGCAGATATAAACCATTCAGATAACTGCCTGGGTTTGATTTTTTCAGTTACAAGAGCTACCATTCCAACTAAGAAAACAGTCTTCATCCATCTCTCTCTCTAGTTGTATTGTTTCTAACAAAGATTGTTATATATATGTATAATTATTTATTTATTGATTGTGTATTAGGAAATTTAGAATATCAAGGAATAAAAGTGGTTGTTTAGTCTATTATCAGTAGACGTTCAAATTTAAAATCATTGCTAAAGGAATTGAGTAACATTAAATCTTTGATATATTTTTATATGAGTAGATGTTGAAGTTTGACATCATTGCTACAAGAATTATACAACCTTGTATTTTTAATATACTTTGATATAAGTGATTGGTCAAGAGTGACATAATTGTCAAAGTAATTTGGAAACCTTTTAAAACATCCTTAAATCTTATGTTTTTATTTTTACAAATATATTTATTATAATAAGTTTAATTCTTAAATTAGCCATAAATTTGGAGATTTTAACCAATTTATATAAGTTGGTTTGTCTATTCAATATGATTCATATAAATGCCCCAACATTACAAATGTGTACTCATGCATGGTTGCTAGTACATCTACTTCTTTAACTAACATGCACATAGTAATCTTTTCATTCAACAAATAATGTTGTCATTTTGTTTTGTTGCTTTTGATTTGGATTAATATTCTGGAATTCTTAATAATTAGACAATTATATGACTTCATGTACATACTTCTTCATAACAAAATGATGTTCTTTAATGCACATGACATGAACAATAATTATTGTTGTATACCATGAAATGTGCTTTAGGATGCATTGGGCACCTAGCTATCAAATATAAAATAGAATTTGGATCCAGAAAGTCCTAACAACTCTAATAGAATCTTAATTTTTTTTTATTAAATCTTAACAATGTTAATCTATCTTTAATCAAATCCAAAAGAAGTCTTTAAAAAATTATAAAAGAAAAATAAAGAAATTATATATTAATCTTAAAATAATATATATAATAAAAAAATCTAAAGAAATATCAAAGAAATATTTTAAAAATACAAAAAATAAAAAACTTAAATTAATCTTAACCATATTTTAATATAATCTTAAACAAATCCTAATGAAACTTAAATTAAATCCTAATTAAATCCTAATCAAATTTTAAATCTTAACCAAATTTTTAACTAATCTTAGCCAAATTCTATGAAACTCTAAACCAATCCTAGCCAAATTCTAATGAAATTCTAAAACAATACTAGCCAAATCTTAATATAATTCTAAACCAATCCTAAAAAATTTCTAATATAATGCTAAATCAATTCTAGCCAAATGCTAATATAATCCTAAATCAATCATAAACAAATCTTAATAAAATCCTAAACCAATTGTAATCAAATTCTAATCAAATTTTAATGAAATTCTAAACCAATCTTAATCAAATCTTAACCAAATCCTAATATAATTATAAACCAATCTTAAAAAAATCTTAATAAAACTCTAATCCAATCCTAGCGAAATCTTAAAAAATTTAAAATAAAATTTAAGCAATTCCTATAATTATTTTAAAATATCAATAAATACTAATTGAACATTGATCTCAACTCAAATTTCTTCCACATTTCAATTCACAAGTAATTAAAAAGCACAAAAAATTGAGAAAAATTAAAACCACTAATCAAAAGAAAAAGCTCGTAAACCTCTTAGATGTTAGTTGCTCTCTTTTTCTAACCTAGATATTGATCGTTCAGGAGCAATTTCTTCTTGTTGAATTGTTCAATATGTCTTCAAATCATATAAATCTAACTCTCAAAAAACCTCTTACTCCTCTGCTCTCAAATTCTATTCTTTGATCAATGAAAAAAAAACTTGGAATTGCTATAGATGTATGGTTTTATGCTTGAGGGTTTGATTTTGACCATGGTTCACAACCGGTCCTCTTTGAGTATCAATTCTTAGTATTTTGGGATAATTTTTACTAAATCATATTCTTAACTCTTTTTTAAAGATGATTATATGATTTATTTTCTTATTTTAATTTATTTTGAATTATTTATGGTCTTACAAAGTAAGTAGAAGCCTCTTTCAAAAGAAAGCAACATTAATACTTATTAATTTTTACTACTTCCTTTTCTATTATATATATTTTTAAGATAATTTTTAAAAATATTTTCATTTAAATTCCTCTATAATATAATCTTTCTTTTTTTCTTTTATCTAATGGCCATGTTACAATATGATATTGCTCAACTGTTCTTATTAATACTAAGTAATGCTTAGAAGCAAAGTAGTCATAGTAGATGCACCTCTCTTTTGTTGATATTGACAACACCTTGTTCTTGTACCTCTCTGTCTTGATAGTAAATGGTGATAGGAGATTGCCAATGTTGATTGAATATAGTCTAATTTTAATGTAAGTAGATCTTCAAGCTTGACATCAATAGAAAATAACTTTGGATAATTTCAAATTTTTGATACAATTTGATATATGTGATTGCTTAAATTTGACTTAATTGCCAAAGAATTAAAAATCTTAAACCTTTGATATATTTTTATTTGAATAATTAGTTAAAATTTATATTATTATTAAAGAATTAAATAATCTTATATCTTTGATATATTTATATTTGAATAATTAGTTAAAATTTATATTATTATTAAAGAATTAAATAATCTTATATCTTTGATATATTTATATATGAATGGATATACAAACTTGCTATCATTGCCACAAGAATTTTACAAACTTATATTTTTTATATATTTTAATATTCATTATTGCAATAGTTTGACATTATTGCCAAAATATTTTAGACAATTTATAATTCTTATCATATTTTATTATAAATCTATAATCAAATTTTACATTATTACTGAAAAATTTAAAAAGACTATATCTTAAATATTCATACTTTATATAAATGGTTGCTCAAATTTAACATCAATACTAAAGAAATTAGAAAAATTTGTAACTTTAATTTTTTTTATAATATAAATAGATGCACAAGCTTGAAAGACATAGAAATAGAATTAAACAATCTTATATTCTTGACATAGTTTTTATAATGGATTATTTAAGCTTGATATAATTGCCAAAAGAATTAAACAACCTTACATCTTTGGCATTATTTGATACAAATAAGTACTTAAGATTAATTTATATTTAAAAAAATCAAGAAATATTAAAATTTTGATAAGTTTTAATTTAAATTATTGCTAATTTTTTTTAATAATATTTTTGATAAAAATAGGTAATATTTTATTTTAAAATTTTTTGTCAATAAATACTTAATAATAAATCATTGCTAAAGAAGTTATACAACTTAAATTTTTGACAAATTTTAATTTTAAAATTATTTTATAATTGAATTAGTTATAATATATTTTTTATTTAAAAAAATATATAAATATAATAATAAAATTATCTTAAAAAAATTTAAAATCATAATTATAGGATTGAAAATAAATTATAAATAAATTATAAAATTTTATTTCATAAGTATTTTACCTTTTAAGAAGTTTTTATATATTTTTATAAGTTATAATATGTGTAAAAAGATAAATGTGAAGTTGTAAGAAATGTCATTTCTTTGTTTCTTTAGTGTATTCATTCTTTTTTGTTCTTGCTTAAAGATTCTTTAATCTTCATGTACTTAAAAATATTTATTGCACTTTGTTTATATTAAAGTATAAAATTTCTTTATAAAAATATATATTCTTTTTAATTACTTAAAATACAAATTTAATTTATTGGTTGAAAATAAACTATTTTTGTTTATTAAGCATTTAATTAATAGTTTCTAAAAAGATGTAGTAATATAAAATTCAACTTTTGAAGGTTATATCAACCAATTCCTTCCAAAAAGATTACAAACATGCAATTAGAACTTAAAAACTACGAGAAATGCACATCCTTTAAAAATACAGAATAAAATCAAGAATTGGTGCTCTAAAACTGAATCACATAGCCTTCAGTGGAACATACCCTACATAACATTCCTACAAATACTACACAGAAGTGAAAACAAAAATAAAATAAAATAACAACAACAACAACAACAACAGGCTCCTAATAGTTTGGTTGTGGGTGGAATCAGTTGAATTCTAATACACTGGACACTAACAACTTATTGTCTTCATGATCTCTCACTTGAAGGAAATCAGTACATCGGCTCTATGATAGGTGTGTCGGCGCTGCAGATTTGATTTGGCATAATACACCATCATCTTCATGTCTACAAACTGAAGATGAATTGAAACTGTGTCTGACATGGCTAGAGGCTGCGTCGAAGTGTTGCAGTCGGACACTATGCAACGTCGACGGTCAAGCCCCACCATGAAGAACGCCGAGAAGCCGCCAAAGCTGCACCGACAAAAGTGTGCAGTTACAGTTGTGTTGTCCACGGGAATGATATCCTCGCACATGCGACCCCACGCATTGACTCAAATTGCGACAACTCCCCATCGCATCTGTCAGAAGCCGAAAAGGTCTAGTCATCGAAAAGAACTACGTGGATGGTTGTGACTCCCGAAGCACCCTTCTGCAGTCCGTCCTAAGTTGTTGCTTGATAGCGGTGCAGGATTAAGGTCAAGTGGTACAAGACGGGATGAACCCAGCTACTCAATGTCACGCTGCTAGGAGAGCTGCATTCGAGTTGATGAGCTCGAAACTATATGGGAATTCAGTGCGATTCGATGCAACATACCACGGTTGAATCTATGGTTGCATGGACTGTAGGATGTCATGATGCATTACCCTAAGCTAAGTTGGTCTACAGTATAGACCTGTGGTGGAATTGATAGAATTGTGCATGCGATTATAGGATCATAAGTGGTGGATCCATTATTCTAAGCGTTCCGAAACCTGTGTTTACCGAGTCCAGTCAATGAAACGAACTTAGGCTTGGATGGATTCGA